AGCAGCTCAGACAGTCTGAATATCCTTAATACGTGCTAAATCCCTAGGATATTGATCAAAAGGTATCTGTGTGATGATACCCTGTCAAATTCCCCGATCTGAATCCCATTGCACACATTGGAATTTTTATAAGAAGGTCATAGCCCCCCCCCCCTTCTTTAAAACTTCAAAAAATGTTAGGTGAATATTTGGAAGTTCGGTTCAGTCTTTAGCTTGTGAAACCTTGTCTGTTTAAATATCTACAAACATGGGTTTTAAAATACTGCAATCATTGACATTGTATCTAGCAAAAAGAACGATTCAAATCAAATAACTGATTTTTAAAGATTTAATGATTTAAAAGAGTATTGATTTTAATCATTCGTTAATCATGTTACTAGTTCTTGTCAAGTAAAGGACACATAAACTGGGTTAAGGTATGATATAATTGTCAGAGCTGAAATAAAATGATCGTCACAAGAATAGCTTTGAATGTGGGCAACACAGGCAGTATTAAAATGATGAGAACAAATAAACAATAAAATTTTATAAGAACTATATAGGATCAACGACGATCTTTAATCCAATAATCTTCTAAAAGACAAACAGATTTTTATAAAGCTATATTTTGCCTCAAAGTTTGAAGTTGTAAAATTTGTTCATGAAAACAAAAACCATATTTAAAGAAACCGTGTCAGTTGGAACCATTACAATTTTATTATTGTGTCTTTTTAATCGTTGATCTACTAATATCCCTTGTCTACGGTATGCCCATTTAGGACCTATCAAAAATATTTTTGAATTCGTTATAAAAGATTTAAAAACTCGTTATGACGAATTTAATTTGTTATAACAGATTTATTGAATTTGTTATAACGAATTTAATTTGTAATAGCAGATTCATTAAATACGTTATGACGAATTAAATTTGCTATTACAGATTCATTAAATTCGTTATAACGAATTTAATTTGCTATTACATGATTTTTTGAATTCGTTATAACGAATTTAATTTGTTATTACAGATTCATTGAATTTGTTATAACGAATTTTATTTATTATAACAGATTTATTGAATTCGTTATAACGAATTTAATCTGTTATTATATATTTGTTGAATTCGTTATAACCAAATTCTTGAATTGGTTATAACGAATTCAACAAATCTGTAATAACAAATTTAATTCGTTATAACGAATTCAATGAATCTGTTTTAGCAAATTAAATTCGTCATAATGAATTCTAACAATCTGTTATAACAAAATAAATTCGTTATAACGATTTCAATGAATCTGTTATAACAAATTAAATTTGTTATAACGAATTTAATGAATTTGTTATAACAAATTAAATTCGTTATAACGAATTTCCAAAATCTGTTATAACAAATTAAATTCGATATAACGAATTTTAAAAAACGTTATTACGAATTCAAAGATATTTTTGATAGGTCCTAAATGGGCTTCCGTACTTGTCCGTCTTTATACCGAGAATTTTTTATGTATAACATGAGCCGTGATAATTTAGGGCAACATGAGCTGTGACAATTTAAGGTTGCCAATAAACACTAAATACCGCATAAATAAGAAAAATTAAAAGGTAAAGATTCTTGTATTTAGAAGAATTTTAGGTTATATCTACATATTTTTACGCTTGAAATAAGCGGTTTGAAGGATGCAGAGGAGACACATACATTTATATTATTGCCCATCAATACATTTGTATGAAATACATTGATGTGAAATACATATAAAAATATTGTTAGACCAAGCTTACTGTATTTTTCAGTAAAATATCCAAACATGAGAGAGATGACTTGGCATTTGTGGCATCTTTTATTAATTGCTCAGCATGAATGGGAAAAGCTGTATTGAGCAATACGGCTCTGCATGTGCTTTCTGTTTTGTGTGTTTATGAGGACCTTTGTTAATTGGACTTCCATGAATGCAAGTTTTATTTTTTTATATAATTAATAAAATGCTGAATATGAGGCTATAATTATCCCTGTTCTATGGCAAAAGATGTTAATCGTTTGCCATATATTTTTCTACCACGGCTTTAAAGGGGGAAGGATATATAATGACCGAGATATTAAATTCGTCCATATACTAGTATAGCGTGTACGTTTAGGGTTACATGTACCCATCCCTTATCTGCAGCTCTTCCTTTAACATTGAATGGAATCTTAAGAGACTCCACGGAATGCTTGGTACACCGTATTTCATTGCACTAAACGTTTTTGGTCTTTGATTGGATACATATTTCGGGTTTCTCATACCAAAACATTGACGTGCCATTCTTTCTATCATATAAAAAAATGACACTTTCACAGATTCCTATCAATATGATGTAATATGGCACAATTTAAAAATTTTTTTTTTGATCATTACTTATTTCTGTTTTTTTTTTCAAGGGAAACATGTACTTTGCTATAATGATCATGTTGGGGACCTGGGATTTAGTTAGCTCTTTAGTCATATTTTCTCCAGTTTTATTCTAGAATGCGAAGTTACTTTTAAAAGCTATTTAACAAAATGCAAGTAAGTGATGTTAATCATTTAAGCCGTATATCAGGTAGGGTAGTCAGTGATATTTTCAAATGTAGGTTTCCCTAAGGTATTTACAGACATTGGACTAGTCCGAACTATAAGTGTTTTATCTAACCCAGAAAAAAAAATCGTCAAAATAGTTATCATTTTAGGGGGGAAATTATTTTGATATTTGTTAGGCACACAGCATACTATCTGGGTTAATGAATAAGACAATTGTCTGAATTTAGACTATACAGTCATATGAAATTATAAGCACAAAAATAGCTCTGAAAGTGAATAACAAAGTCAATATCAAGGAAAAAAGGTCAGATAAACTTTCTAAAAAATGTAAGGTTTAAGAAAACCTGGTTATAATTATATTTAATTTCAAAAATATATATGTTATCATGTTCATGAAGGTATCTGTTACCTTAAAAAATCCAGTTTGAATTTTTGTTGATGCAAACAAAGCATATGTTTAAAAAGCCTTCTGGGTTGACAATAAGATGTGTAACAAAAGCCTTCTTGGGTGGACAATAAGATGTGTAACAAGAAAGTAAAATGCAGCGAACCAGATCGGGATTCGAACCCAGGCCCCCTGAAACTCCGGTCAGGTGCTCTACCATTTGAGCTATCTGGCCATCGGCGATCGAACCCGGCTGACCGCCACATTTCTCCCTCCTTAAAGATCTTTGGCCCTCCCAAAACCCCAACACAGGCTCTATTTTGCAATGCACGGATAATGATTAAGATGATTAAGAAATAGGACATACAAGGTGGATATCAAAAATCTGCAACAATTGACCCAAAATCTGGCTTGCTATAGTGGACCAGAAGACTTTTTTAATTTGTCTACTAAATCTCTGATGTACTAATATTCTGTGCCCATTCTTATTCTCATCGATTTTATTGTTTTCTTATATGAGCTTTAATGAATTTACAAGCATTGGAAGGGTACATTGTATTTTGATTTTTTTTGTGATGGATTTTATTTTTTGTCTATATGTACATTATTTCTTTTTGAATTTAAAGATTATCTTATCTGTAAATTAATATTTCATTATACATTGAACTTTTTTCATATAGTCGTTAAAAGAACATTAGTTCAATCATCCTTAAATGTACACTATTGCTATAAAGAATTAAAGAAGCAGACTTAAGAATATACATGGTTCAGTCAATAGTTTGTGAAACCTTGTACGTTTAAATATCTACAAACGTGGCTCTTAAAATACTGCAATCATTAACATTGTATCTAGCCAAAAGAACTATTCAAAAGAACTATTCAAATTAAATAACTGATTTTTCAAAAAGATTATTGATTTCAATCATTCGGTAATAGTTCTTGTCAAGTAAAGGACACATTAACTGGGTTAAGGTATGATATAATTGTCAGAGCTGAAATAAAATGATCGTCACCAAAACAGATTTGAATGAGGACAACACAGACAGTATCAAAATTATGAGAACAAATAAACAATAAAATTTCCATAAGGACTATATAGGATCAACGAGAATCTTTAATCCAATAATCTTCTTAAAGACAAACAGGTTTTTATAAAGCTATCCTTTGCCTCAAAGTTTGAAGTTGGAAAATTTGTTCATGAAAACAAAAACCATATTTAAAGAATCCGTCTCAGGTGGAACCATTACAATTTTATTATGGTGTCTTTTTAATCGTTGATCTATTAATATCCCTTGTATGTCTTTATACGGAGAATTTTTTTTATATTACATGGACCGTGATAATTTAGGGCACTATGAGCTGTGACAATTTAAGGTTGCCAATAAACACCAAATACCACAGAAATAAGAGAAATTAAAAGGTAAAGTTTCTTGTATTTAGAAGAATTTTATAAGTTATATCTATACATAGTTTTACACTTGAAATAAGCAGTCTGAAGGATGTAGAGGAGACACATATAATTTATCTCATGGCCTTTCAATCCATTTTTATGAAATACATTAATGTGATATACATATAAAAAAAATGTTTTCTAATTAAAATAATTTGAGACTTTGGAATATAAAGATAATGTTAGGATGATTAAGAAGTAGGCCAGTCATATTATTTTTGCATTATGTTTTATAAAGCCTTGTCTCTATAAATGTACCAAAGTGGACCTTAGAATAATAAAACCATTGACCCATTTTTAAAGACAAAATTTTGTTCAATCAGTAAAACATGCATTCACTGCATTCAGAAAACTTCACCTCTAGAGTCGCGAGATAAGTAGAATGTCCTAAGGTCACATGTACAAATCCTACAGTGGAACGTGGATACCGTTCATTGAAACCTGGAGAGGGTTACACTTCCCTTATAGTTGGTGAAAGAGTACGTTCTCAAGTGTTATACAGTTGACTTGTCCTACAGTGTACCTCCTAAGAATTCATTCTTAACGAGCCGTTCTCATATTTAGAGTTAGACCTATTGAATAGACTTCTCCAATAGTGTGAGTGTCAATAACACCACTCCAACCCCCTCGAAAGATTGGCCATATGTCTAAGGGAGACCACAATGACGATCTATAATAACATAGCCAGGTAAGGAGGTTTAGGAGGACCAAAGGAACGCTCGCCAAAATTCCTTACATATACGTATGTATATCTCCAAAATAAATGTTTGTGAGCATTTCCGCTGTCGAACAGGCCTTTGCCTTTTGATAAAGAATTTATTTCCTATGTACCAAAACAAATTCTTTGTAAACAAGTTCACTCAACAACATACTAAATCCTGCAATGCATTGTGATGTCATGTTATTTGCTATTTATCGTAGAAAAACGATGCATTGTGATATTATGTTATTAAAAACCGGCTCATGTTAGGTGTACTGAAGTTTACTTCAAAATTTGTAACCAATCAAAGCTGGTTTATAAGCTACATAGGGAATAAATAGTGAATGTATTTTCTCTACATTTACAGAGAGTTATTTGAGAAAAATAAACATTTCTTCTCCTTCATTATTATTGATATTTTTGTATGAAATTGAGCATAACACTATAATGACGTATTTTCTCTATCCTTACAGAGGATTATTTGAGAAAGATAAACTGGTCTTCTCCTTTATGATGTGTGTGGAGATTATGAAGCAGGAAGAGAAGATAACTCCTGCTGAGTGGAACTTCTTCCTCCGTGGAGCTGCCGGAATGGACAAAGAGCGACCGGGCATGCCCACTGCTCCCTTCTTGAACAATGTCAAAGTCTGGAATAATGCATTTGATCTCAACAAGAAAGGCCCACTTACTAACCTTATATAATAAAGCTATAGAAAATTTAATTTTGATAATTAACTCTTTATAGAAAGAATATTTGCTTCCTTCCTCACAGCTCCTGAAAAAATTCTTGTAGAAAAAAAACTTACTTCCGGAACTAGGATAATGAGGCTTTTTAAAGTCAAAATCTGTATATTTACTCAAAATAATGTTCAGGGCAAGCAGTACTAAATATTTTCATTTTTGAATGGGATCACTGTTTTGTTTTAACAATGTACATGTAAGCTACCTAAACATAATGAAATCAATACAAATTTTCACATGATTACAAACATGGTTCTAAAATTGAAGTTCAAGTGTATTTCATGATCTCGATGCATGATATAATCCAGAAAGAAATGAGCGCCTTTATCTGATTTCTAGTTTCACAGATATATGAAACTCTCTATTGTAAATGTACCATCCCTGATGTTGATTTCCTGTGCTTTACAGACAATCTTTGCGGTGACAGAGTTTGTGAGTGAGAACCTGGGTAAGAAGTTTGTAGAGAGCCCCCCGGTGGGACTACAGACCCTGTACGACGACATGAACAACATCACCCCCCTCGTGTTTGTCCTCAGTACCGGCTCAGATCCCATGGGGGCCTTCCTCAGGTTTGCCAGGGACAAGGGATACACTGACAAGTACGAGGGCTGTTCAATAAATAATGTCCTCGGTGCTCAGAAAGAAGCAAAAGACACTTTTTAATGATTTCTTCTTCATGATTTTACTAATTAATCTTTTTTAAGTAAAATGCATGTCCGTAACATTTTTTATCTAATTTCTGATCGTTTGTAGAACTCATTTTTGGGTATGACCCTCAGTATACTGGAAAATGGCAGATCCAATGATTTCTCAGACTTGATTCATCCTTCTGAAAGGCATTTTTTCTAAGTTTGGAGATAGAAACAAATCAAAAGGTCAAAGATCTTGCAAAAATTGTTAATGTGAAAAATCATTAACTTTCTGTTTATCACAAAAACCCCTTTACTCTTCAGGGCATGCGGGTTTGGAGGCTTTCTTGAAGAAATTCAATGTAGTGGATTCCTGATTCTGGGCCCTTCCTCTAATAAACCTTTTGATATTTTGACCAAATAAGTACTTTCTAGACTCCTCCAGAAATTAAACTGTCTCTCTGATTACGATTTTGAATAATATTACCACTAATGTTTAAGAAAATTACATGTTATACTGTCTTTGTGCTCTTGCATACTTGTGTACTTTTCAGAAATTCGCCGTTTTTATCAAGTATATCTTATGGTAAACTCTCCTTTTAGGGTTTTAAGCTATAGATTCATGTTCCAATATCTGTTTGAAAATAAAACAAATGTGGATAACAACATTTACTGATATTTTAAAATAATTGTTAAGAATTTTGTAAACGCTGTCATTTTTACTAATTTTTCAAAATATAGGGTGACCTTTGAGTATCAAGCTTTTTTACCGCCAAACGTTTCTTAAAAACAGCGTAAATTACCCCCGATGTGATGTCTATCAAATTTGCTATGTGTCTTAAAGTCAATCATACATCATAAAGCATTATTTGTCGAAATTTGGCGAACAGTACATAAGTTGTTATAATTTTTGTTGGCAAGGAGGGTACCCGTTTTTGATGCCCATTATACAATTTTTTATCATTGAAATCCGCCTGCTCTTTTGGCTATAAAACAGACACTAGATGCTGTAAACGTCACATATTTCAGTTAACATTTCTTTGGGATTTTTAACAAGTTTTACGGCAGCCTAAATGAAGCCTTTATTTTCACCCTACTTTACTGATTGTTTACCATGCATTTATAATGCAGTGTCTCGAAAAGCCCTTGTTTCCCAGCTTCTCATGATGACACTATGTGATGAAAAGTGGTCACATAAACTGTTATAAATTCACGAAAGATTAAAAAATGAAGGAAAGTCAAGTTTAATGTCATACGATATCTGTAATGTATGTCATATAGTTCAGGACA